CAGGGCTGGATTTGAACCCGCCACCTTAGGTGTGTGTGGCTGGCATCTTAGCCACTTGAACCACAGGTGCCAAGCCTAGCCATTATATGTTAAAGTTTGTCCAGGTAACCAGGTGTTACTAGTATAATATAATAATACGGTTAAATATTCCCTTCCTATATATCACATTTTTACGTTGAAACCGACACATGCGGAAACTAAGATTGTAAAAATGTTTTCTTTTGTAAGCAAGTCTCTTGAAAGACTGACTACTTTCGGGTAGAACTAGAAACCAGGAGCAGCATTCTGATGATTGAGAAGAATGTTAATTACCTTGTGACCCTGTGGCCAGGTGGTCAGTCACATTTCTCACACAGGCCAAGTAAGGAACATAAGGACTGTTTGCTGATATATTTAAGAGGGCGTCTTCAAAGTTTTCCAGGATTAGGAGCCTATAGAATTAGAAAAGAATATATAAATGAACTCGTGTAAAATGAAGCAAAGCCATTTTGCTGAGATTATTCTAGCAGCCTGGTTGTTTGGCACCGGCCGTCTTGGGCACTGAAGTGCCGCTGAGAAGCTGGACGCCTTCCCTCACCACGCCCGGCTGCACAGTGGCCGCGCTACTCCAGGTTCTCCGAACATTCACCTCTCCCGTGGGCACTATCTTCACGTTTAGTTATTTTAATACTCCATCATAAATGATCTTAAGGCCATTTGTAGGTATGAAAGAAAAAAAAATCACCAGGCTAGGGTTGCCTGATGAAATACGGGACTCCCCGTTGGAGTTGAGTGACAGGTAAACGATGAATGACTGATTTAGTTTCAGTGTGTCCCACAAGTTTTGCACATTTTTTTTTCCTTTCTCTTTTCCCTTTTTCCTGTATCTGGCAACCTCTTTCTGGGCCTCAGTTTCTTATCAATTGAGACATTCAAGGCTAGATGATTTGCTAGATTATTCCACATATAATGTTCAATAATTACATGTGGATTCATTTAATTACAATTTTAAAAAAGGAGTGAATTCCAATTGACCAATATAAGTTCTTTTATTCTCTGGACAACCAGTTTGCTGTCCCCCAATTAAATACTTTCTGGTCTTCTTTAAAATTGACCAGAATGTAAGAACATACTTTTTTTTTTTCTCTTTGAGACAGAGCCTCCTGTCCCCCTGGGTAGAGTGCTGTGGCATCACAGCTCACAGCAACCTCCAATTCCTTGGCTTAAGTGATTCTCCTGCCTTTGCCTCTCAAGTAGCTGGGAATACAGGCACCCTCCACAACACCTGGCTATTTTTTGGTTGCAGCCGTTATTGTTGTTTGGCAGGCCTGGGCTGGATTCTAACCCACCAGCTCATGTGTACATGGCTGGTGCCTTAGCTGCTTGAGCCACAGGCACTGTGCCAGAACATATTCTTTTTTAGAACATGTCTGTGAGCATGTGTGTGCTATATGTGCCCATGACTTCCCCTGTAAGGCTACATCTCTGTTTATTTTGTAACTTCTTCCCTTAGTGTCTACTCTTGAATTGTATGTACAGTAAAGATAGAATAAATATCAATGGCTGATTTGGGGATCGTCTGCTTTGAATCAAACTGTGCAATACACAAATAAATAGTCCTATCAGATGTTTAGCTTGGATTTTATTAAAATGCAAGTGGGAGAGATTTATCTTGCCATAGCTAGTAAATAGAAAAATGTTTGCATTAACATCAAAGAAGACTCATGATGTTTAGACGTGAGTTAACAACACCGGATCCTTGAGGAACTTTAAAAGAAGAAAAAAATCAATGGCAAGAAAAGTCTCTAACTTGGCAGTCAGAGCACAGCTAAGTGATCAGACCAGTGACTCTCATTTAAACGCTACCCAGAGCCACAACATTAAAAACAATAACACCCATTCCAGAAGCCTTATTGCTTCACTTAGGCAATTCCTTGGCTAGAGACATTTAATAACACTATATATTCAGTTGTCCCAGACTTTATTTATTTATTTGAGAAAGAGTCTTACTCTGTCACCTGGATAAAGTGCTGTGGATATTTATTTATTTTTTGAGACAGGTTCTCTTTCTGTTGGCCAGGCTGGAGTGCAGTAGTATAAACATAACTTACCACAACTCAGATTCCTGGGCTCAAGTTATCCTCTTGCCTCAGCCTCCCAAGTAGCCTCTGGGACTATAGGGGTGTGGCATCATGCCTAACTAATTTTTTTTTTTTTTT